TGAGGAAACGCAATTCAGTGAAATGGCAAATGACTTGCCAAGTGGATCTGATGGGTTGCAAGCCTCCTTCCTGCTGTGGTATGTGATTATTATTCTGATTAACTCTCTAGAGAAAACAGTAATAACTAAAACAGATTCACCAATGTATGCCCACCCCCATCCAATAAGCGTTTGTAGACCTGTTGACCTGACTTTCTCTAGCACTCAGATCACTTCTAGCCCCTAGATCAGAAAGCAAAATTCAAACAAACAAACAAACAAAAAACTGGCTCCTGATCTTACACTACTCTTTATAGGGGCAAGAGAAGGAAAGAGGGAAGAGGGAAGAATACAGTCTCTATAGCTAAATGGGTTATGGGAACTGATTAACTAGGTGATCTCTAGGTGAAAAGTGATAATAAAAATAGTCCCTAGCAATTAAAATGAAGCTATAGCCAGGTGGATTCAAGTTATCTGATTTCTTATTTTACTGACACAAACAGAGAACTGGAAAAGGATAAGGTCATGCCAAGCCAGAACCTAGTGCATCTGCAAAGGGGCTGTCAGTAGAATGGTAACAGCAGCTGCAGCAGTTAACACTGTTAAATTTCAAGGACTGTTGGCAAAAGCAGGGAAAACAGAGATGAATTCCCAGGACAAGTGAGGATCCCTGGGCTCAGATGAAGTTTGTTGGACTGTGAATCATTTAGGGCTGCCATTAAGGACCAGATGGCTTTAACAACAGAAATGTATTGTCTCACACTTCTGGAGTCTAGAAGTCTGAAATCAAGGTGTCACCAGGGCTGGTTCCTTATAAGGGCTGTGAGAAAACAGGTCTTTCCTGACTTCTTGTGATTTTATGCCAATCTTTGTAATCCACTGGTTTGTAGATTTCTGCCTTGGTCTCTGTGTGACATTTGCCTTGTCTGTATGTATTCCCCAAATTTCCATTTTAGTAATATTGGATTAAAGGCCCACTTATTGAGCATATATTCATCTTAACCAATTGCATCTGCAAGAAATTTATTTCCAAATAAGGTAGCATTCTGCAGTACTGGGGGTTGGAACTTCAATATATAAATTTGGAGTGAGGCACTATCCAACCAATAAGTCAAGGAGCAAGGGTGGCAATGTGTGGCATAGGAGATATAAAAAGCACTCTTTGTTGTTATTGTTAGTGATAAGAAAAGGCACTATCATTTACTGAATTATGTACTAGGTACTCAGCTGGGTTCTTTAAATGTACTATTTCATGGGGCTGGCATTGTGGCACAGCAGTTAAAGCCACCACCTGTGCCACAGGCATCCCATATGGGCACCGGCTCATGTCCCTGCTACTCCACTTCCAGTCCAGCTCCCTGCTAATGTTCTGGGAAAGCAGTGGAAGATGGCCCAAGTGTTTGGGGCCCTGCCACCCTTGTGGGAGACACAAATGAAGCTCCTGGCTCAGTCCTGGCCCAGTCCTAGCCCAACCCTGGCCATTGCAGCCATCTGGGGAGTGAACCAACAGAAAAAAAGATCTCTCTGTAATTCCGATTTTCAAATAAAAATATTTTTTGAAAAAATTTTTAGTGAATTCCCACTACAAACTTATGAGGCAGATATTTAACTATGACTATCTCTAGCTTAGTCAGTTTTGGCTGTTACCACAAAATACCACAGAATGGTAAGACTGGTTCTGGACTCCAAAAGTGACTGTAGCATCTTCTCTGACAGGGATTTATTTTTCAAAGTTCTGAAAGTTGGAAGACTCACATCAGGAAGCCAGCAAATTTGGGATCTGATGAGGGCCCTTGTCTGTGTTGCGGATATTCAATTAATTGTTATATCCTCACATGGTGAAAAGAGGGCTAGAGAGTGTTCCTTGAGATCTCTTTTATAAGGACACTAATGCTACTCATGAGGGTCCTCATGATTTGAATTACATACCCAAATCCTGATCTTCTGACATCATTAAATTGTGGGTTAGGATTTCACCTTACAAATTTGAGGGAAACACAAACATTCAGTCCATAATAATCCCCATTTTTAAGTTAACAAAACTAAGGCTTCCTGATGCAGAAGTGACTTGCCTAATAGAAGGAAACTGACTTGCTACACACATTATGTCCAGTAAGTAGCAAAGTGAGATTTGAACTCAGGTCCATATGTCACCTAAGAATCTCTCAGATGGGCAGATGTTTTTTTGTCAAGCAGTTAAGACACCAGTTAAAATGCCTGTTATCTGCATCAGAGTACCTGGGCTTATATCCTGGATCCAGTTCCTTATTCCAGCCTTCTGCTAGTGGTGACCCTGGGAGGCAGTGGTGATGGACCAAGTGGGAGACCTGGAATGAGTTTGTAGCTCCCAGGTTTGGCATACACCCATACACCCAGCCCCAGCCATTGTAGTCATTGGGGGGATGAACCAACGGATGGGAGCTCTCTGACTTTCTCTCTCTCTGCCACTGAATGGCTGTTCTTTAAACTACACACTGCTTTCCATAGACTGCTTATAGGCTGCTTTCAGTGATTAGCCACTAGTGAAGAGATGTCCAATTTTCATTAAGAATCATGAGCAAATTAGAAGCTAATATCCAAGTTAAGAGTATACAGTGCTGTGTTATCATAATTAACCTCAAAAGATACAAGCTCTAAGACCTCATTTTGTTTCAGATCCTGCGTTCAAGAAAAGCACAACAAACTTCAGTGCCTCAGAGAGCTCCTGCCTAGTGCTATATCAAGGCAGTCATTGGTACAGGGTCCACTGGCCCAATGAGTGTAAGGGGAAAACTTGGAAATGGGAGGGGCTTTTTCATTGTCAAACTAACAAGTGAGTGTTACTAGAATTTAACGGAAGGGAGCCAGGAATGCAAAACTTTACAAGGTACCAGTACCAACCCACACAATAAAAAACTGTGTCAGCCAACAGGCTAATGACATATCCTGTTGAAAGTACCAGTTAATGACTAAAAGGCAAAAGGAGATTTTGAAGAGTGATCAACCACTAAATTACCACCAGTTACATCTCCTATAATAGTGCTAAGAATGATCTGATGGTAATACTGGCTGATATTGAATTGATGCTAACATTTTGGGTGACTGGGGAGATAATGAGAGGGACAAGATAGAGGTTTCTATAAGAGTGAACTTAAGGCTTAATAGGGACAAGACCATGGAGGAATCTTCAATTCACCTGGATGCTAAGATTACCAAGGGTGATAAGGATAAAGTAAAAAAGCATTGATTCCATCCCTTGCTATCATCCTGATTTTGCTGTATAAGCCAAAGAGATACTTTCCCTCTATCATTGATTGCCCAGCTGGTCAAAGGGGAAAGAAAGCTCTATTTCTCTCACACCCCTTCCCTAGCCTAGTGAGAGCATATAAGAGCTAGCACATGTGTCTATGCAAATCTAAGTGCTGTTCATAGACCAGTGGAACAAACTAGAAAATCCAAAATTAAATCCATGCATTTACAGTCAGTTGATTTTCAGCAAAGGTGCCAAGAACACACAAGGGGGAAAGGGCAATCTCTTCAATAAATGGTGCTGGATAACTGGATATTCACATGCAAAAGAATAATATTAGACCATTATCCCATACCACATAAAAATATCATCTCAAAATGGCTTAAAGATTTAAATGTAAGACCTGCAACTCTAAGACTACTAGAAGAAAACACAGAAGGAAAGTTCCATGACACTGGTTTCAGTAACGATTGTTTTTAATGTGAACATAAAGTCACAGGCAACAAAACCAAAATTAGACAAATGGGACTACATCAATTAATAAATGTATGCACAGCAAAGGAAGCCATCAACAGAATGAAGAGACAACTCATGAAGTGGAAAAAAATATTTAAAACCACACTTTTGATAAGAGGTTAATACCCAAACTATAAAAGAAAGAACTCAAACAACTCAGTAGCAAGAAAGAAAGCTCAATTTTATAAAAGGACATTTCTCAAAGAAAGATATATAAATGGCCAACAGAAATACAAAAAATGTTCAACATCACTTATCATCAGAGAAATGTAAATTAAAACCACAAGGAAGTATCATCTCATGCTTGTTAGAATGGATATTATCACAATATATGTCAGCAAGAATGTAGAAAAAAGGGAGCCTTTGTACACTGCTAGTGAGAATGTAAATTAGTACAGCGATCTGGAAAACAGTATGGAGGTTCCTCAGAAGACTAAATATAGAACTACCATAGGATTCAGTAATCCCACTTCTGTGTATATATCCAAATGAATTGAAATGAGTACATCAAAGACAGATCTGCATTCCCATATTCACCGCAGTTTCATTCACAATAGTCAAGATAGTAGAATCAATGTAAGTATCCATGAACAGATGAATGGGTAAATAAAATGTGGTAATATATACACAATGGAAAACTATTTAGCCTCTGAAAAGAATGAAGCCCTGTTGTTTGTGACAACATGGATGGGTCAGGAGAACACTATGTTAAGTGAAACAAGTCAAACACAGAGAGACAAATACTACATGATCTCACTAATATGAAACAAAAAAAAATCTGAAATCATAGAAGTTTTAGAATAAAATAGTGGTTATTAAAAGCTAGGAAGGGGCCGGCGCCGCGGCTCACTAGACTAATCCTCCGCCTTGCGGCGCCAGCACACCGCGTTCTAGTTCCGGTCTGGGTGCCGGATTCTGTCCTGGTTGCCCCTCTTCCAGTCCAGCTCTCTGCTGTGGCCAGGGAGTGCAGTGGAGGATGGCCCAAGTGCTTGGGCCCTGCACCCCATGGGAGACCAGGATAAGCACCTGGCTCCTGGCTTTGGATCAGCGTGGTGCGCCGGCCACAGCGCGCTGGCCACGGCGGCCATTGGAGGGTGAACCAACAGCAAAGGAAGACCTTTCTCTCTGTCTCTCTCTCTCACTGTCCACTCTGCCTGTCAAAAAAAAAAAAGCTAGGAAGGAATAATTTTAAGTTTATTTCTTAATTTTTACTTGAAAGGCATAGCAACACACATACACACAGGGGGAAAGAGAGAAAGAGAGGGAGGGAGGGAGGGAGAGAGCCAGTCTCCCATCTGCTGGTTCACTCCCCAAATGTCCACAACAGCCATGACTTGGCCAGGCCAAAGCTAGGAGCCAGAAACTCCATCCAGATCCTGAATGTGGGTGGCAGGCAGGGACCCAAGTACATCAGTCATCATCTTTTCCTTCCCAGGGTGCACATTAGCAGAAAAATGGATTGGAAGTAGAGGCAGGACTCATCCAGGCATTCTGTTATAGTGTGTGGGCAACCCAAGCAGTGGCTTAACCCACCGCACCACAATATCTATCTACTAGGGAGGAAGAATTTAGGGATATTGATTAAAGGATACAAAATTTGAGTTAAGAAGAGTAAGTTTAAGAGCTCTATTGTACAAAACAGTGACAGTTAATAATAACATACTGTATTCTTTAAAATTACTGATATTGCTGAAATTTAACTGAACACATTCTGCTAGAATTCTTTTTGTCAATTTAAAAATGAATAAATTAAGGATAAGTATTTGGCCATGTGGTTAAGATACTGCTTGGGACAACTGTATCCCATATTGGAAGGCCTGGGTTGCAGTCCCAGCTCCAATTCTGTTTCCAGTTTCCTGCTCATGCACACCTTGGGAGGCAGCAGGTGATGGCTAAAGTGATTGGGTCTCTGCCACTGGGTAGGAAACCTGGATTGAATCCCTGGTTGCCAGCTTTGCCCTGGCCCACCCCCATCTATTGTGGGTATTTGAGGAAAGAACCAGTGGATGTGAGAGCCCACTCATCCCACCCCAGATTCTCAAACAACAACACATTATTATTGTTTTTAAATTAACGCACTCTGTTTTTTTATCTTTACAAAAAAAAAAAAAACCCAGTTTATTCATTTGAAAGGCAGAGTTACAGAGAGAGAGAAGGGGAGAGAGAGAGAGAGAGAGATCTTCCATCTGCTGGTTCACTCCCCAAATGGCCACAATGACCAGGGCTGGGCCAGTCAGAAGCCAGGCGCCAGGAGCTTCCTTCGATCTCCCACATGGATGCAGGGTCCCGAGCACTTGAATCATTCTCCACTGCTTTCCAAAGTGCATTAGCAGGAAGCTGGATTGGAAGTGGAGCAGCCAGGACCCAGACTGGCACCCATATGGGATGCTAACACTGAGGCAGCAACTTTACCTGCTATGCCACAGCACTGCTCCCCCCTCCAAATAATTTTTTTAAATAAACAAATTAGAAAACAAGAAGGAAAACTTTCTCTCTGTCTCTCTGTCACTGTCCACTCTGCTGTCAAAAAAAAAAAAAAGAAAACAAGAAGGAAAAACCTAAATGTTGTAAAATTTTGAGTGTATTGATATTACTGAGGAAGGAGGAGAAAACCAGTACTTCCTTTTACTCAGTCTGTAATGATGTCCTAAACCTCTGTAATATCCACCCTGCCTGGGCTAGCTAGTTTGAGGCTAGTAACTTTATAGCACCTCACCCAAACCCTCCACTTCACAAATTCCAATATGTAACCACCAGAGTGACCTTCACATACTTTCAAATTAGAGGAGAGTGCTTCAATTTTCTCTAATGGATTTTTTTTTTTGCTGGTAGCAGGAAACAGGAGAGTAGGACAATATTTTTCATTAACCAGAAAGCAATTTTGTGAAAGTTGGAGCTACCGAAATTATTCCTGTCCCAATAGCATTCCAGAAAAGTGTTCTTTAGCCATGTCTACTTCTACTGTTGCCTTCTCTGTAGATTATAAAATTTCACCACTTCTATGTTTCTTGAACCTAACCTTCAACCCAGTGCTTTGTACACAGCAGACTCTCAGCAAATGTTTGCTAATGGATTAATTAACGCTACTCAAAATTGAACCATCATGTAAATGTGTGGCCAGGGAGCTATAGCAGAATGGAGTAAGAGACACAAGGTAACTTGATGTGACATAAATATTGTCACATCTTTTTATTTGAAAACATTGAATATCAGATCATGTCTTATTGAAGAGGGGAGTTCTAACCTCCTGTTGCTAAAGAAAACACTATCCAAAAAACCATCTCCCAGATCCTGTTAAAACTGGACTAAAATTCTTCTAGTTCGTAGCAGAGACCCAAAGGACACTTTTGGTTTGGCAAAAAGATTCTAGTCCATGATGTCTTTCAATTCATATGCTGTGACAAAGTAAGACTGCCACCAATTCACACCCACTGAGGCTATCTTCAGTGTAAACCTTGAAGCAATTAAAAGCTGGGTAAAATTAAGAGTTAGCACTGGTAGTTTGGGGGAAATTTCGTGGCAAAATTCATCTTCTCCTTCAAAGTGTAAATGAAATCCTCACCCATGTAAAAAGGTCCCCCTTCCCAGTAGGCCAGCTGCTGCCAATGAGAAGTTTTCTTACATTATACAGCTTGTGCCTTGCTTTACTGCTTATGAAAGCCATTCTCTATGGGGCAGCCCTAGATCAAGCTGTCAGCCCTTTGAATTGTCCAGTCTATTTGTTGGGCTGACCCTTGCTGAGAACAGACCTTGAGCTTTCTCTGCCTAAACCTGCCCAATTACTTCATTCTTTTTACTACCCACTGCTATCCTGAAGCAATACATGATTGCTAATTAACCAATGGAGAAAAATTAAAGGAGCTGAGAGAACAGGAATGTGAAAGGGAAGGCACTTAACACTTAATTGAATTGAAAACTTTTATTACAATAAACTGTACTCAGAACAAAAAACAAGATAGTTTATCTAGGACTATAACTTCAAACATGAAAACCATTTTAAAAGAATCATCCTGGAAACTGAATTGGCCAGTGAGCTAGAGAGGAATATCTCCTTGAAGCACTTTCTAGACAGAGATGAGGGAACGGTGCTTCTGGCCCATTTCTGATGCTTGGACAATTCTTAACAGCCATTTCCTTTGGACTTTGTGGGGGAAAGCAGGAATCTTAAAGAGGCACTTTGCTCACTCTGATTTCATGTGTGTGCTTAGACTTCTCAGGTAGATGGAAATTTATCTCATGTAAAAGAGCTCCAGAGAAGAAAACTCTAAGGTCTTTTTGTCATTCATCTTAAAATTCGGCAGCTCTCAATGTCAAGGACTATTGCTTTACATTTTTTTCCAAGTTCTTCACATTAAAAATGCTCCATTTTCTCTTGTTCTAGCCTCTGGAGACAAAGCACAATTATTCATTTGAAGACCATTTTTCAACAGTCCCCAAGTCTCTTCTCCAACTCAAGCAATTTCAGCTTGTCTAAGCTTTCTTTGAAGGTCTTCCTTTTTTGGATCTCCTCAGGATTCCTTTCACTTTCTCTTCATCTGCTGTTAAATATGGAGTCCATAATTAGATAAAGTGCCTGATAACTAGTGAGTACAATGGAAAGCTGCCCTTTGCAGTTGATCAGACTGTTTTGCATACACAGATTTTTTTTCAACATTAACAGTAATAGTCACACTGCTGTTACATGTAAGGTTTTTTTTTAAAAAAAAAACACAAAAATAGATTCTTTATAAGAACATATTTATAGCTGATTACACTATTGGATTAATAATTAAGCATCATCAGTAATAGCTGGAAGTTTGTTACTTAAGCTTAGAGTGAAGTTCTGCTTCATTTCACCATTCTAGAATACAGAAAGAAAAAAGTTAAATGCATTTCCTCTCTGTGATATTTTTCTAAAATACAGTAATTCTCTACAGTATGTAGAGATGAAAGATGTCTCCTGATCCCTACCTTGTATCCTGGACATGGAGGCTCAGGCTTGAAGGAGGCAGGAGTTACTATGGCTTGCTGTTGGGCTCTGGTATCTGCTTCTTGGGACAGCCATTGGTCTGCCGTTTGGCATGCCCACCGTTGAGGATATCCTGGATGTGTTTCACGATGAGGTTGATGGCCACGAGATTATCTGCACCTCTAGGAATTATCACATCAGCGTATTTTTTCGTCGGCAAGCAGAATTCCTCAAAGGTGGGCTTGACGAAGGCAACATACTGAGACAGAATCTGCTCAAGATCCCTTCCTCTTTCGCTGATGTCTCTTAATACTCTGCGGGAGAGACGGGTGTCGGCGTCTGTGTCCACAAAAAGCTTCATTCGGAATAGGTCGCGGATCTCCTGGGAGTAGAAGGCCAGGATCCCTTCAAAGAGCACCACGTCAGCCGGGTAGATAGTAACTGTCTCCTCCTTCCGGGAATGGGAGACAAAGTCGTACACCGGGATCTGAACCGTTTTCCCTTCAGCGATTTCTTTGAGTGTCCTGAAGACGAGCTCACTGTCAAAAGCATCCGGGTGATCGAAGTTGAACTGGCCCTTAAGGGCCTTGGCTTTCTGCTCTGATGTGAGAACTCGATAGAAACTGTCCTGACTCAGAACGACCACCTGCTTCTGGCGATAATCCACTTCGTTCTGGCCCAGGAGCTGCACAATCTTGGCACAGACGGAAGACTTGCCGCTGGCAGTGCCACCACTGACACCAATCAAGAAAGGTTCACAGCCATTGGAATGTTGGTGGTTCTCCATGGTCTGCTCTCTGTCGCCCGCCATAGCTCGAGATGCCCTTTCCCGCTACAAATGATCACGGACACCGTCTCCACGCCCACAACGGCTTCTTCCGCTCCCGGCAGCCAACACTGCACGCTGTACGCTGCACGCTGCACGTGCTTACGCACCACCGCAGGTACCTACTCTGCCGCCGCGTGCCTATTGGCTGCTCAGAGCACAAGGGTGGTGCCGCCGCCAGCCTGCCCATTAGCTGCAGGAGCTGCGCGCCTTCTCTGCTTGCCCTGGTCGCCTAAGAGAGGTTTCTCATTATTTTTCTAAGTAAATTATGGCACATTAACTTGCTGGAATATTATATAACCACAGGAAAAGGATCATGACTATCAAGAGTGTACAGTAACAGAGGTAGAAAAGATTTATGTATAGCTTATGGAAAAGTGAAAGAATGCAAATGATAATTAAGTGACCTCTTGTCTATGGCCACACTGTACTTTACTTTATTAGAGCACTTATTATTTTATATTCCTGTTGTTTCTGTACATATTTGCCCCTTCAAGTCAGTGAATTCTGAGTCAACTTTGTTGTGCCAGTACTGGGTGCAGGTCCTGGTAGAGTAGGTACAGAGATGTGTTTGTTCAACGAAATAGGTGAATTGCAGCTATATAAAAATACCAACATGGGGGCTGGCACTGTGGCATAGCACATAAAGCCGCTGCTTGCAGTGCCAGCATCCCATATGTACACCGGTTCAAGTCCCGGCTGCTCCACTTCTAATCCAGCTCTCTGCTATGGCCTGGGAAAGTAGTAGAAGATGGCCCAAGTGCTTGGGCCCCTGCACCCACGTGGGAGACCCAGAAGAAACTCCTGGCTCCTGGCACAGCTCCGGCCATTGCGGCCAATTGGGGAGCAAACCAGCAAATGGAAGACCTCTCTCTCTCTCTCTCTCTCTCTCTCTCTGCCTCTTGTTCTCTCACTGTGGAACTCTGACTTTCAAGTAAATAAATAATTCTTTAAAAAATACCAACATGGAAATAAAGACTTGGACATAATAGGAGGTAATAAAAACGGTTATGTTTAGGAAGGTGAAATTACAAGGTTCCTCAATGTCCTGTTTTCCATCAATACAGATTGTTTCATTTTTACCAGACTCTGAACTGTCTTGGTATCTGAGCAGGTCCTTGGGTTTACCTTTACTAAATTCTTACCTCATTTCCAGAGGCACTGCTTACAAACATCTTTTGCCTTATCCTGGTTTTCTCATCTCTCAAATCACACCAGGATATGACCATAATAAACATATTACAGGGATATCTATTAATCTGTACTTTCTAACAATATTGGAAAGTAGTCAAGGTAGGGACAAATCTCTGTGTGAAAGATTAGAAAACAAAGGCTTAAAGAGGCCCATGGTAACAAAGCTAATAAAGGCCAGGTTAGGACTAGAACCTAGGTTCTGATTTTAAGCCCTAGATATCATACTATCCACTTCTGTGCTGTTCAGCCCAAGATCTTATGACCCTGAGATCTCTTATGGCCCCAAGCCTGTCCCTACTTGACCCTTACATTTGCTAGGTGAAAAGACTGGTTAGAATGGAAATAAACAGTTAACTTTTATTGCATACCTATGGTAAGTATCACTACTATACAGGAGTTTTAGAGAAGCAACAGACTCAGAGGGGTTAAAGTAATTTACAGAGGATATAGAGATGTAAGTGGCAGAGCTGACACTCAAACCTACATCTGTCTGATTCCAAAACCAAAAGCCTTGGCACTATCAGACAGGGTATGAGCTTTCCTTCAAGTCAGTAACCTGGCCCAGGCTCCAGGATCAATCATTTATCAGCTCTTCCCTTGAGCCTCATCTTAGATATTTGTCTTGAAAGAAAGAAGACAGGTTCATAATACAAGGCCAGGCTGGGGAGGTGGCAGCTGTGGCCTTTCTGTTGGATGACAATGACTAAGTCTACTGCTCTTCAGCTGCAGGAATCACTCTAAACAGAGTCTGGCTTTATACCCGGTTTATAATTGTGCTATCTCAGCTTTAAACCCATGCCAAATCAAATTTCCTTTCTCACTACCACCATCCTATTTGCTAATCTGTATTAATCTAGGTAGAATGGTGGAGAAATGTAATATAGGTCACTGAATTCTCAAAGTGCCAGATATGTTCTCAATGCTTAGCACATTTAATCCTCACCACAATCTCACAAATATATACTTACATTCCTGATTTTACTAAGGAGCAAGCTAAGATACAGAAGGGTTAGATACTTGCCCAAGGTTACATAAATAGTGAGTGGCAGAGCTGAGATTTGAACTTGAGCAAATCTTCAAGAGTTCATGTTCTTAACCACAATCCATACTGTTGTTCAAGGTATGATGTGGTAACTGAGCAACAAAGCAGTATGGAAAACGTTTACATTGGTGCTAAGCTGACCATAGCTACAATATGACAGTATTTCAACAAATTAATGTAAAATGGAATTAAAAGATAAATGTATTTGGGGTCAAAAATTTTTGAAATGGTCTTCACAAAATTCATGAAAAGTGTCTATTATGAAAAAACTACACAGGGATTTCTAAATTTTCACACCAAAATAAACTTATCTTTTAATTCCATTTCCATTAACTTCTTAAAGTCATACAGCTTCCATCTAGAAAATGCCTTAGTTTACATAGCACTTTCCACATCTATGGACACTTTCCACTGTCTATGGACAGTTGTGATGGCAGGACTGATATTATTAGCCTAATTTTTCAAGGATACAGTATAGAACAGAGGTTGAATATCCAGGTTCTGGAGTTTAACTTGTGCTCAAACCCCACCTTTGATTTTTCTTAGCTATGTCTCACTGAACATATCCTTTTAAGTTCCTCATATGTAAAAGTATTATCACAATGTTATGGGGAAGAACTAATGCAGTAATATATGTGTAGTGTTTCACACAGTTCTTGACCCACAGGAAGCCATCAATAAATATTGGCAATTATTATTAGATGAAATAACTAAGAACCTGAGGAAAGAAAGGCCCATGTTATAGCTACCCAGGGAGGCCTGAGTAGAATAGGTCCTAGATTCCAGGACCATTTACTCAATACAATATTCTTCCCAATACAATGTTCTGCATCCTGAAACTATCATAAATAAGCCAGAAACCTACTACAGGACTGCTGAGGATATGCACAGACAAATGATCCATGGTCATTTGTCTATCACCCCTGCACTGACAATGGAAATTCAGCACTTGGCATAAGGCTGGCAGATAACAGGCCCTCAGTTAAGTATCTACTGAATGAGTGAAACACCTAAGCCATCTAATTGTTCCCACTGGAACCTGGGCAGAGAGAAACAAAATCACAATCTTTGCCTTCAGTAAACTCATTCATACAAGAGAAATGGATTCTCAAATAAATGATTGCCCAACAGTGTGATAAGTAATGTCCTAGAAGGCTTTAAAGATTGCTATGACAATACCTTGAAGAGGAGAAAGTCCCTTTCTACAGACTTGTTACTAATTCTTCTATCCCTCTTCCCAAGGAGAAGAAGATGACAAAAAATTGAAAGAAAATGGAAATGCAGAAGTGAAAGAACAGTAAGAGCTCAAGTCCTGACTTCAAATCCAAAGTGTTTTCAGCTATTCACTGTACATTTCTAGATGGGGACAAACTATTTTCTCTCAGAAAAAAAAAGCGGAAAGCAGAAAAGCTACTTGTATTGGCTCATTCAAGGTTAACTAAGGTTAGCTTTTTTTTTTTTTTTATTAAAAGCTCCTCAGCTAAGGAGTTAGGAGACACTGCGTGGCACTGACCCAAAGCAGCTTTTGAAAATTTCCTGGCTGTGTCAAAGGCTAGGAGACAATCTGTCCATGATGACTGGAGTGTAAGCCACAGGCAAGGGGAAATCCTTCATACCTTTTATAAGGTTCTTTAACAGCGACTTGCAGTGTCAAAATGCATTTCAGTCCTACCAGTTAAATGTTTCTCTAAAATCAAGGATACATATTAGGCAGTTTTGCATGGTGAACTGCTGCCCACTGTGAGTTTATGGTCAGGGATGACAGGGAATTTGCCAACTGTACTTGGTGTTTATTTGGTGTAACTGCACAAATATGCATACCCATCAACTTGCTTCAGGAAGGAAACATGAAAGCAATTATTGTGATTATTAGTTAGCAGCAGTCCTTTTTTCCATTCTTCCACAGAAATTACTGTTCATCATCAAAATCCAAGAGTCTCAGACCCCTTCTTAAGAAGCAAAGAGGATTTTTGCACCTCTGCTCTGACTGACCCTCAGACCCAACAATCTTTCTGTTTCTCTCAAACTCTCCCTCCTGTTCTCCCTCTCTCCCCTATTCCTTTCAACCCACATATAATATATATATATATACACTCATATGTATACACACACACACACAGAACACTAGCCCAACCATTTACTAGCTATGTGACCTCGAGCAAGTTATCAACCAGTCAGAGCTCTGATTTTTTAATCTGTAACATGCAAATACCAGCAACTATCATAGAGAGTGCCTGTTACATAGTGGCAATGTTTAGTAGCTGGAAGCCGAGTCAGAGGTTGTGGTACCTGTTGTATGGTAGATAGGTGTCTCAACATGAAGGTATGTGAATTGGAAAAGTGCTGGTTTTTCTAGGGGTTTGAGAGACTGAGATGGACTGACTCTTTAAGTATTCTGTTTGCGTCAGGCAGCACCAGCACTCTTGATGCAGGTTGTTATATAAGTTAAAAACAAAGCAACTCTCCTCTGGTATTAGAACTTACTTGGACATCAATAATGCTGTAAAAACATGATTTCAAGTCCTTACGTCCTTTCTACCTACCCTCTACTCAGTCAATTCCAGAGCCTTTCGCTCACTGGTCCATGCTTTCCACATCTAAAAAACCGAAACTACTTTGCCTGTCACTTCTCATTCTCTCTCTCCCAATTAAAACAACACACGTTTTCCTCAACTATTCTCCTGCTGGTGACAGCTGACAAGCGTGGGCTGTCGTAACAATGGATTTCCCAAGCAGGGCTTCAAAAGGAACTGGGGGATTGAAGATGACGTATACGGAGTGTTGGAATATTTTAATTAAACAGAAATGTATTGAAACGAACTGTTAAGCTACAGACAGCAATGCTGCTGATGTGTCTTGTCATTGCAGTATTTACCTTCTGGCTGTGTGATGAGAGGACTCGTGTTCCCCTCTAAATGACAGGTCAATAAGTCCCTACTGCACTCCCTCTCTCCTGGGGCCAATGTGTGGGCAGAATTTTCAGCAGGGTCAGCTCTTTGAGCAGACTGCAGCAAAAGCAGCCTGGCAGAGCAGGAACAACAATGATACAAAAGCACCTCAGAAACCCACTGCTTCATAACCCCAAATGGCCACTGCACACAGCACAAAGAGAGAGAGAGGGACAGAGAGGCCAAAACACAACAGATTCTGATGGAAGGAGAGACTCAGAAGATTCATGGGCTAGAAAAGGAGTGAGAGAAAAACAAAGCAGATATAAAAGTCAAGTATAGGAGAGAGAGAGAGAGAGAGAGAGAGAGAGAGCAAGTGAGCATCAGGAAGAAAGACAAGAGAGCCTGGACAGGAGAATGTGAGAAGTGAAAGGAAAGAACGGAGTAAAGGAAAATGAAACAAAGACAAAAAAAGGGCTTTGAAGAGAGAGAAAATAAGAGCCAAAGAATAAAGGAAAGATAAAAAAGAGGCAGTTAAATGAGCCGCTGGGGAAGGGGCATACATTACTAGGGCCCTAACTAATCTGCTTCTTACTTGACATTAACATTTCTTGCTACCTTCATAATAGGATATTACACTTGACACCTGTCAAGGCTATAACCTTGACAAGTAATATGGAAGATATTTGTTTTGATTTTCACTGCATACTTGTCAAAATTTAAAAGCCATTATAACTGGGGCAAGTTGAGAAGGAAGACAGAGAAAAAAGCCAGTAAGAGGCTTAACAAGCCTAGAACTTTTGTCCAAAGTAGGGAATGGGAGGAGGGAGAAGAGACAGAGATACCTAAGCACATATGAACACTTGGAAACTATTTTTTGGGGGGGGGGATTAATAACCTTACCGTACACTCCTCTAGCAAATGAAGATGGCTTCTTTCTTCTGTACCTGCATTTCCAAAGTCTGCATGCTTCTCTTCATCCTACAACTTTAGCCTCTATTCAGGACCTCCTTAATCTTCACTTGGCAAACTGGAAGCTTATCCTTCCTAGCCTCCTTCCCTCAAGCCTGCCTGACCATCTAAACTCTTACTTTCAATCTTTTCCTGGGCCATCACTGAACTCTGGGATGTTTACCCTAGTTGGGTTGCCAGGCTAGGTACCGGAGACGCTCTTTACATCTGGCTAACATGACAACAATGTGAGATTCTACCCTGAACTGGACAATGATGTCTGAAGAGGCTAATTTCTAATACATCAAATTCCTGTAAAATAAAGAGGAAGAAGAGGAAGGGACAGAATTATACAGGTTTTCCACCCCATTATTTTCTCTTAAGTACATGTATCATCATCATTCTTTTAAAATATAGCTCATTAAAGTAGTTTGGCCAAAATGGGCTCTTATTGCATATTTCTTTTTAAAAATCAGACAACATATTCTGTGATTATATGAGTATATCAATGATCTCATTGAAAGAAAAATAATTTAAGGTTAGGAAACCCTCCAAATCTTTCCCCTCTCATGCACCTGAATGTTCTGCTCCTACCTTGCCATTGCTATGTATCACATGTCCGTGATTAGAAGTCGACTCCCCTGCTTACTCAGACGGACTCTGAATTTTTTAGAGATTTATTTATTTATTTGACAGTCAGAGTTACAGCAAGGGGTGGAGGGACAGAGATCTTACATCTGCTCGTTCACTCCCCAGATGGCTGCAATGGCCAGAGCTGGGCCAGGCTGAAGCCAGGAGCCAGGAGCTTCTTCAGGGTCTCCCACATGGGTGGCAGGTGCCCAAGCACTTGGACCATCTTCCACTGCCTTCCCAGGACATTACCAGAAAGCTAGATTGGAATTGGAGTGGCCAGGAGATGGACCAGTGCCCGTATGGGATGCCAATGTTGCAGGCAGCATCTTTACCAACTATGCCACAGCACCAGACTGGCCCCTGGACTCTGAATCTCTAAAAGGTAACCATGCTTCCTTCATCTCTGAGTAGTGTAAGATATTTATAAGAGTAGGCCTTGGGGCCAGCCTTGTTATGCAATGGGTTAAGCCACCAACTGCGATGCCTGCTTTCCATATCAGTGTAGTTCAAGTCCTGGCTGCTCCACTTCTGATCCAGTTCCCTGCTAAAGCCCCTGGGAAAGCAGCAGAAGATGGCCCAAGTGCTTGGAACTCTGAACCCACATGGGAAACCTGAATGGTGTTCCAGGCTCCTGAGTTCAGCCTGGCCTTGCCCTGGCCGTTGCAAGTATTTGGGGAGTGAATCAGTGGATGGAAGATATTTTCCTATAATTCTGCCTTTCATATAAATGAATAAGTAAATATTTTTAAAAATAAGAGTAGGCCTTAACATGTGTCTATTTGTGACCTAGGATAGTTTCCTGCCTAGTTAAATCCTATAGGTCCAATCACCAGAGAAGTGAAACTCCTGTTGACAATGGACATGGAAAGAGGGCAGAGAAGGAGCATACATTGAGCACCTATGTATCAGGAACTATGCCAATCCTTTTCACATGAACTGTTTCCTCCAATGCCCAAAACATCCCTAATCAGTAGATATTATCTTCATTTTTCAGATGGAAAATTGAGATCCTAAGAGGTTGAGTGACTTGCTGATTGTCGCATATATTATAAGTACCACTGACTAGATTTGGAGGCATGTCTACTCAATTGTAAAGCCCATGCTATTCTTTTTATACTACCTTACCTCCAAAGGTTAGTAGAGCTTCTTAATAACCAAAGCCAACTTCCCCTTTTCCAATTCATCATAATCAATTCCTCTAAACATTGATGCCAAAAATACCTTCTGTATTTTGAAACCTTTTCTTCCTATGGCTTCTATGACACTGTTCTGCACTGATATTTGCTTCCATGCCTCTGATCACTATTTCTCATTTTTCTTTACTGGCTCAACTCAGACTCTTTGTTCTAGTTTTCATACTCTTCTTGAGCAATATAATTGAATAAGACATTTCCAAGTATCTGGATGTGGTAGGTTCCCAAGATTGTGTGTTTACCCCTTTCCCCAAGGTCTAGACCCAAATCATTACTGCTTTCTGAACCTCTCCACATGGATATGCTGTGGCCAACTCAAACCCAACATGTCAAAAACTCAAGTCACCAGCCTCACACCCCACTGTCCCAACCTCTCTCAACCTTGCTCACATCTCCAACATGACAACTACAGCACATGAATTACATCCCAATAAATCCCTTATCTAAACAAAGACAAACATATAAAGATTTTCACTATCTTTTGTGCTAATGTATATATATATATAACATTTACTATTGTAAACATTTTAAGTGTATTATCCAGTGGCATTAATTCACAATGTTGTGCAAACATTACAACTATCCAATTCTAGAGCTCTTCATCATCCCACACAGTCTGTACCCACTAAACAATAACTCCCTATTATCATTCCGCAGCCCCTATATCTCTACTTTATGTTCTGTCCCTGTGAATTTGCCTATTCTAAGTACCTCATATAAGTAGAATCGAATACTATTTGTTCATCTGTGTCTGGCTTATTTCATCGAGCATAATATTTTCAACGTTCACTCATGTTTTAGCATATACCAGAATTTCATTCCTTTTTATGACTGAATAATATTCCACTACTTGTTTATATAACACATTTACTATACATGCTGTTATGATGATGGGTGTACAAGTATTTGTGTTCCTAAGACCCCAGTAGAAGGAACAGGCCATCAAGGAGGGAGGCGCCTTTCTCCAAAGGGAGGAAGGAACTTCCACTGTGATAAGGCCTTGATAAACAAGTTCAGAGTTGGTGAACTCAAGGGGCTTCCATAGCCTAGACAGCTCATGGCAAGAGCCTCGGGTGATTGCTGACGTCATAAATAAGAGTGCCATTTGTTAAATCAACAACGGGAGTCACTGGGTACATGCTCCCCACGTAGGATCTCTGTCCTTAATGTGTTTTACTATGAAACTTAAAAACAACACTACTAGTCGAACAATACCCTATACCTTGTACGGTTGTGTGAGGGCAGCCTGTTGAAATCCTTGCTTAGTATATACTAAGTTGATCTTCTGTATATGAAGGTAATTGAAAAAGAAACTTGCTGAAGGGCAGGATGGGAGAGGGAGTGGGAGAGCAGAGGGCCGCGGGAGGGAGGGAGGTGGGGGGGGAAGCCACAACAATACAAAAGTTGAACTTTGTAAATTCACATTTATTGAATAAAAAAAACACAAGTATTTGTGTTCCTGCATTGAATCTGTTGGGGTAGAAACCTAGGAGTGGAATTTTTGGATCACATGGAAATTCCATATCTAATGACTTGAGGAGCTGCCAAACTTTTTCCACAGTAGTTGTGCCATTTTACATTTTCACCAGCAATGCAAGGGGGCTTCAATTTCTCTATATCATCACTAACAATTGTTATTCTCAGTTTTTAAATAATAACCCTCTTCATGAGTATAAAATGCTATCATAGGTTTGAGTTGTATTTCCCTGATGGCACGCAACATTTGTTGGTAATTTGTATAGGTTTTTTGGGGAAATGTTTATTGAAGAAGGCCTTCACCCGTGTTTGAGTTGGGTTGTTTGTTTTTTGTTGTTGTTGTTGTTGACTTAGATAAGTTATTTATATATTATGAATTTTAATCCCTTATCTGATATATGATTTGCAACTGTTATCTCCCATTCTGTGAGTTGTCCTTTCACATCATTGATAACATTCTTTGATACACAAAGGTTTTAGTTTTGATGAAGTCCAATTTATCTATACTTTCTTTGCTTGCTGATGCTTTTGGTGTCACACCCAAGAAATCACTGACAAATACAATGTCATGAAGCTTATCCCTTGTTTTCTTCTAAAAAGATTTTCTAGTTTTTCCTGAAATATTATCTTCAATGGTAAAAAAAATTAAACAGAAACCTACATGGCCATCAACTAAGTCTGGTGATATGTTCATATTACAGGACTCCACATGGGAGTTAAAAAGAAAGAAGTAGGTCTACACCTAATGACATGGAAAGATAATAAAGATAAAAAGTTACATGAACAAGTGCAAGTTGGAGCCCACTGACATAAAGTATATAAAATAAAAACTAAATAATACAAAAAGCACATCAAATATGACAATATTCTTATATTGATTATGTTGAAATGATCCAACATTGGTTACCAGATTAAATAAATTCTATTAATTTTAAGGCCCACGAAAACAAATTATATATATTTTATGTTTGTATGTAAGAATGTGTATATACACACACTACACACACACGCCTTCCAATGGTCCAGAGATTGAATTAATATGTTCATACATGCTCTCATCCCAGGGCTCTTCAGACTTTCTCCAGAGAAATTAGTGTGATCAAAAATCCTTAAAATGAGAAGAATATTGATTGCAATATTTTGTTCCCAGCTACAAAGAGAATAAAAAATCTGAACCAATATACAATCCTCAATTCTATTCACATGAGATCTCTCCCTACCCCTGAGCTCATTAAGAGAAGGAGAAAGATTTGTAGAGAAACTGCAAAGACCACTATGTTTGTATTTTGCCTTACATGATTATTCTCTAGTAAGTATAAGACTCTTCGTGTGATACCATGTGCCCTAATCTTTCACATTTCCTTGTGCTGCCCTGAGGGCAGGTTGAGATTTCTTTTTCTGTTCAGGCAAGCAGTGCCTTCCTCAGATGATGCTGAGCAAGAATATCTGAGCCTGTACCTTTTGGAGCCAGTTTCAGTAGGTTGGGGCAAAGATAAAAAGATAAGCAAATGCCAGTCTTATGAAACAACAGAATCCAAAAATAAGGGAGGAAAATAAGGTTTCTATAACTCTGGCAACATTACATTTAGACACATGGCTTGGTATGACAATCATCATAGAACCCAGCTCCTATGTGATAAAATGGACAAAGGTAAACATATTTAGAAGAAAATGGAATATCAAAGAGAAGCAAGGATGGATTAATGGAGTTAGAGTTAAATTAAGAACATACACATAAGCTCATGATTATGAAAGGATTTTATCATACATTCAAGAAACTGGCCACTGAGAAGAGTGTTTGGCTTAGCGGTTAGGACACTGGGACACTTACATCCTCATTTCAGAGTGCCAACATTTGAGTCCTGGTTCTGCTGTTGATTCCAGCTTCCTTCCAATGTGCACTCTTGGAGGTAGCAGGTGATGGCTCAAATGGTTAGTCACCCACATGCGAGACCCAGACTGAGTTCTCAGCTCCTGACCTTGGCCTGGTTCTGCCTTGTTTGTTGTGGGAATTTGGGGAGTTGACCTGCAAATTAGAACTCTCTCTTGCCCTTGCTGTCCTGCTTTCCCACTCTTCCTTTCAAATAAATATGTAAGTCAGCTGGCCATACAGTTTAGATCTGTGCTGGAGAACTGGGTTGCAAGGCATCAGGGACAAGGCAGGGGAACACTTACATTTCCCTAAACATAGTTCTGTATCTTTTCCACTTCATAGCACGTACATGTTTCAATTATTAAAAATGAACCAAAAGACCTGACATTGTGGAGCAGGGGGTTAAGCTGTGGCCTGTGATGTCAATAACCCATATGAGCACCAGTTCAAGTACGAGTTACTACAATTTCAATCCACCTCCCTGTTAATGTGCCTGTGAAGGCACTGGAAGACAGTCCAAGTACTCAGCCCCCTGCCACCCATATGGGAGACTCAGAGTTTCTGGCTCTGGCCTGGCTCAGCTCCGACCATAATGGCTGTTCAGGGAGCGAAACAGCTGATGGAACATTTCTCTCTCTGGTCTCTACCTATCTATATATAACTCTGTCTTTCAAATAAATAAATAGATCTTTAAGAAATGAATCAGGACAGCACTGTGGTGTAGCAGGTAAAGCCATCACCTGCAGTGCCGGCATCCCATATGGGCACCTGTTTGAGTCCCAGCTATTTCTTGTCCTATCCAACTTTCTACATTGGTCTGGGAAAACAACAGAAGATGGCCCAAGTCCTTGGGCCCCTGCATTGGCACGGGGGACTTGGAAGAAGCTCTAGGCTCCTGACTTCAGATAGGCCCAGCTCCAACTGCTGTGGCCATTTAGGGAGTGAACCAGTGGATGGACGAAGTACCCCACCTTTGTAACTCTGTTTTTCAAATAAATAAATCTTTAAAAAGTTAAGTCTTCACCATCATCAACATGGTTCAAATAATCTCCTACCTATTATCAATTCTCCGACAAAACAATCCAATGTACAATCCTAGCTAGCACCAATACTCTGAGCAATCAATCTTTTCTCAAACAAATGGTGCCAAGAATTCTTAGAGTATAAAGCATCAAATTTAAAGGCAAAAAACATTTAAGATATACTTGAGACATCTTACTTTCACAGAAAGGAAGTAAGAGTAATACTAGTAATTACTCTGTCATTAAATACTTACCATGGTCTAAGAATTTTACATGAACTAATTGGTTTACTCCTCATAGTTATAAGGTAGGTACTATTAACAACTCTGTTTTATAGAAAAGAAAATTGAAGCAAAGAGATGTTAAAGCCATTTGTCCAAGGCAAGAATCCTTTCAGAGATGTTTAGGTTAGTTTTTCTAAAGGATAAGTAAGCCAGTTTGAAAGCCTCCCACTGCTCAGTGACAAGATTTTTTTTTCCAAAAAAAAAAATAATAATAATAACAACTAACTTAAAATAAGTCTGTAAGAGGAATTTTCAAATCACAAGAATATTTAAAAGCAGAGAATAATCTAAACTTAAGATTTTGTATATTTTTTACATTTTTTCATGGTAGAATTAGGTATATATCCTCAGGCAACATCAATAGTAATTATAATAGCTAAATATTATTAAAATGTTTATATGTGCTGAGAATTGTTCTAAGCACTTTATATCATCTCATTTAATCCTCAAGTGACCTTGTAAGGGAGTTAGCATTGTTGTCTTCATTTTACATTCAAAGAAACTGAAGCATTTCCACATCCAAATTTTTGTCAAAAATTGCACAGCTAGGAAGTATTAGATCAAGTTGTGAATATAAACAGTGTTGAGTTCCAGAGTTCACATGCTAAAATGTTATCTTTTATTGTATCATCGTAGGGCAGAAAACTACTTGCAGATACAGGCATGATGAGGTAGAAAAGATTATATGGTTTTTGTTTTCTTGCAATTACAAGAATTTGGGCAGAACTAAGAGGATACTGTGCAGAAGAAACTGACCTGCGATCATGTAGACAACGGTTTGAGTTGGGGGCAAGAAGAGATGCACTAAGTTGTCACAGGCATGCTATTTCTCCCACTAGGTTACCCCTGAACACTTCAGAGCAGTCTAGTGCTCACCACTGCAGTTAATCAATCCTTTAATGGTTTTAGGAAATAACATGGGTTACTAAGTTATTGCAGCAGTGTGCTAGCAAGATTGTTTCTCACCCCCTCCTTGACATTCCTGTGGAACCCTCTTGATGTTCCATAAACAAATCAAGAACATCTATTCCTCTAGCCTTTATTTAAGCTGTACCCTCTCCCTGGATTGCTTGTCAGTAGCCCACCCTATCAAACTCTTTTCTATACCTGAGAAACTCTTATCTATCCCTCAAATTGCAGTCAAATGTCATTGCCCATGGTAGCTTACACAATTGAATCAATGGGTTCCTCTGTTGTTCTCTGACCCCAATTATTTCTTCATATGTCTGTATACCACTCCTTCTCTTCATTAGACTAAGGGCACTTTGAGGGAGCACCCTGTTCTCTATTCATTTCTGTACCCCTAGTGCCTAGCACAATGCCAACATGGGGGAAGGTGAGAGAAATTGTTCACATTTTGTAAAAAAAATTATTTATTCATTTGAAAGAGAGAGAGAGAAAGGGAAAGAGATATATTCCATCTACTGGTCACTCCTAAAATGACTACAACAGCCCAGGACTGGGCCAGGATGAAACTAGAAGCCAAGAGCTTCACCCAGGGTGCAGGGCCCAGGCACTTAGACAATCTTCCACTGCTTTTCCAGGCACACTGGCAGGGGACTGGATCAGAAGTAGAGCAGCCAGGACACAAACCAGTGCTCATATGGGATACCAACATCACAGTCAGTGGCTGCACCTGCTATGCCACAATGCCGACCCCAAAATGTTCATATTTTAATCATCATTACTATCACTGCTATCATCATCCTG